AGAGGGTGGTGTATAGCCACGGTTCTGTCCAGCTCCCATCACTGTCTGCTTTCAGAGCTCTGTCACCATCCCTGAAGCAAATGTGCTCGGGAGAAGTCACTTTTTAGTCTTTCTTTTCTCCTTGTTCCTGACAACCCTTGGTCTTCTTTCCATCACTATGGATTCGTCCTTTGTGACTATTTCATATAAACAGGACTGCAAATTGATATTCTCTGTAGGCAGACTCCTCCCGTCATGGTTTCAAGGTTTATTTGCATAGTCCTTTTTTTAAAAAAAAAGTGTTACTTTTTTAAAAAAAATACAAGTTTATTTACAAAATTGGAAAACATTGTTTTTCGGACCAGATTCTTCTAATTTCGGACCAGATTCTTCTAATTTCCCTCATCTCCCCACCCATCAAATTGTACAACCTCATGATTAATCCCCCCACCCGCCCTGAACATCCTCATCCCCCGCCTGCCCCTCCACATCCTTCCTTTCTGTGGTGTGGATGAACCACGTTGTGTTTACGCCTTTACCTGTTCAGGACATCTGGGTTGTTTCCATTATGGACATGCTGCTGTGAATATTTGTTTACAGATCTCTGAAGAGAGAAAGGTTTTCAATTCTCCTGGGTCCACACTTAAGAGTGGAATCCCTGGGACATACAAAAAGACATCATGTTACAGGTAGAGGGTCAGATGGACGCAGTGGCTGTACCGGTGGGCTTGAACGTGCGAGAGGTCATGAGGATGGAATGGGGGAGTGCGGAGCGCGGATCTGTTGTTCATCAGAGTGCAGCATCAGCTCGAAGGACCTGAAACAGCAGCGTGATGACCTCACAGTTAACGTTTGGAGCAACCGCCCAGCTCTGGTGGAGTTGCAGTCGGGAGGTGGTGCTGTGCTTGGCACCTGGAAGAATCACGCACTGTTTTTCCCCAGAGATGTGTGAGGGTTGCAGGATCTCCACATGGTCTGTAACACTTAGTTCTGCTTAATTTTTTTTTTGTAGCCACATTGTGTTTGGGATATTATCTCGTTGTGGTTTAAATTTCCATTTCCCAGATGTTAATGAGTGTATTTCATTGCTGCTGGTCATTTTTGTGTCTTTGGAGCAGCGCCTACTTAAAATCTTCATGTTGAGCACGACCCATCGCGACTCCATGAACAAAAGGCCTGAAGCCTCTACAACCATCGACATTTATCAGTGTTGTTGTTTAGGAAGTGGATGCCACTGCTGTTTCCACCCCGTGTGATTTACACCCTCTGAAAACCCACTGCAGGGTCAGCTCTGAGTCTGTTCTAACTCGACAGCACAACAGTGACCTGAGGGTTTCACAGCTGTTCTTAAAATGCACTTAGCAATTTGAACTTCTTCTCCACCTTGTTTTGTACCCTCAAATTGGATCCGACTGGCACAGGGGGAGACTGCCCCTCCTTTCCTGTGGAGCATCTGGTGGATTCGAATCTTGCTCCTTTGGGATTGCAGTGCAGCTTCTTGCCACCAGGCCACCAGAACTCTGTAGATTTGAACTTCTTGTATAATTTTGTGGAATTTCTGTATCAGGTGCCTAGCAAACCATACTGGGACAGTGCCTCAGGCCACCTATGGGAAGAAGTTTCTTTCAAAGTCTCATCAGAAGAACACTGACCAGCGGTCAAGAGGACAGAAGACGTGTTGTATTGAGAAAATCTGCTGTCAGGAATCTCTCCAAAGTACCAAGGGGCAGTGAGTGGTATTAAAGATGAAGGTGCCTCTGTCAGGCCATGGTCTTTTCAGTCACTTGTAATGGATCTGAGAGCTGGACAGTGACTAAGGGTGACAGACGAAGAATCGACGCCTTTGAATAAGACAGCAGAACTTCCTCTCAGCTCCGCTCACTTCCTCCTGAGCCTTCTTCTGACATCCATAATTCTACCAGCAGTCTCTTCAAGCTAATCTAGACTTTTATTATTAAAATATCCCCTTAAACTCACAATCTCTGGTGAAAACTCATGCACTGAAATAGTTTTGATTCCTTTCATTAAGGATCAAAACTCAAAATGCATAGGTAGATGTAAGTCTCACCAACAAGCACAGAGGCTTTTGAGTTTTGGTGCTAGAGAAGAGTATTGAATATACCGTGGACTGCTAGGAGAACAAACAGGTTTGTCATGGAGAGGGTGAAGCCGGCTGCTCCTTGGAGGCAAGGATTCTGAAGCTTCGTCTGACATACTTTGGGCATGTTGTAAGGAGGGACCAGTCCTTGGAGAGGGACATCATGTTTGGGAGGGTGGAGGGACAGTGCAGGAGAGGACGACCCTCGATGAGGTGGATTAATTCAGTGATTGGTGGAACGGGAGTGGGTGTGTCGGAGACAGTGAGGTTGGCACAGGATGGAGCAGGGTTTTGGGCTCTTGTACATAGGTCACCGTGACTTGCAAGCGACATGACGGCACATAACAACATCATCCTTTTGCAGAAGTAAAAGGTCTTGCTGAGAAAAAAACCAAACCCCAAACTCAGAAGCCTCCAATTTATTGCCGTCAAGTGGGAACCAGCCCTGCAGGGGGTTTTCAGAAGCTGGGAAGCACACGGGAGGAGGTTGTGCCTACAGAGCAGTGGGTGGATTTGAACCACGGGAGGCCCCACTTTGGGTTTAGCAGCACATCTGGCTGTGAACTGGGCCTCCAGCCAGGCCCGCCGGTCTGTCCGTTAGTGTCACCATCCGGTCATCTCCGGGTCTGAGTCCTTGGGTTTCCTGTTCCCTCCAGAGCTCGCTGTGTTCTTGGTTTGCGACGTGACTTTGAGTCCTATCCAGGTGCAGAGCCTGGACTCTCGTGTGTCCCCCGAGGGTCATTTCCTTCACACCAGCAGCCTCTCGCTGCCCAGAGCTTGGCCTCCAGGCTCTGAGCTTTGAGCGGCAGCTCTGGCCTCTGTGGGGGTGCTCTGTGCAAGTGCGACTCAGGGGTCCGTGAGAGATGTGGGCTAAGGAGGGTACAGGGGGGTCCTCCCACTTCTTTTCTGCATGCAGATTCTGCACTTCTTTCTTGGTTCGCCCCACACTGTGCGCTCCACCCCCACCTCCATGCCCCAAACCTGTTCACATCACGTGGGTTCTCATTCCGATCAACTCTGCAGCACAGAGAGGAGCTACCATAGAGTTTCTGAGGTCACCATCTATGGAAGTAGACTGTACCCCAACTTTATCCCAGGGAGTGGCTGCTGGTCTGAAACACTGACCTTGGTGAGCAGCTGGACATCTGACGAGAGCTCTGGTGCTCTTGAGAAAGTGACCAGGGGAGTATGTTTAGCCCCAGGGAAAACTTCAGGATGGGGTCTTACCTGGCTGTAGCTCTTACCTGGGTAACTCTTATCTAAATAGGCCTTACTGGTATAGCTCTTACCTGTTCTTATCTCTGTAACTTTTGCTTGTATAACTCTTCCCTGTGTAGCTTACCTGTGTTGTTTTCACAGGTATAACTCTTAACCTCTAACTCTTACTGGCATAGGTCTTACCAGCATAGCTCTTAGCTGTCTAACACTTGATTGCAGCTCTTCCTGTATAACTCTAGCTGTATCGTTTTTACTGGTAAAATTCTTACCTCTATCTCTTTCTGGGACAGCTTTAACTAGAGTGCCTCCCACCTGTTAATTCTTACAAACATTGTTCCACCAGGGAACCATAGTTCCCACCAGGGTCTGACCGCTCCTGCCCTCTCTCCAGAACATTCTCCATACGTACTGCCCATAGTCTTATTTGCCTGGGTCTTGGTTCTGAGCGTGTTTCTGCAGACCGGGCGTCACCAGGTAGGGTCTGTTCCTTCCCATCTGAATGGAGTTGTCACACTGTTTAATCACCTTCACCCTCATCCACCAGGGAAAAGCCCCCAGCTGCCTCCCTGTGCAGCAGGAAGTCTGTTAACGGAAGATTAATTAGTGGGTTCATTACACTTTCTGAGTGCAGCTTTTCCACTGAGAGTCCCGCAGGACCCTGATGTCGGGCCTCTGTCACAGGACACTATGGGGCTGAGTTCCCCAAAGGAGCCCTTGGCAAGCTGCTGCCCGCCTTGAGGCCACAGGCCTGGGAACTGGAAGTGGCTTCTCTGCTCTGACACTGCTGGCCTTCTGGGAGTGACTGCCAAGCACCTTCTGGAGGGGTGTCATCCTGGCATCTGGCTCAAGAAGGCACCATGGGGTGAATGCCCATCGGAGCTTGTCCCTAGGGAGAAATGCCATTAACCCCCATCCCAGTCTACCCAGGACACCAGCTTTGGGCCACTGCCGAGTTGTACAGTCCTGGGGTGTGGGGGTGGGATGGGCGACAGCGATGGGGACAGCAGCTCTTCAGCCCAGTGGACAGAGGATACCGCTGCTTCCCAGGTAGAGATGAGAGGTGATGCGTCCAGCCCAAGGCTGCAGCAGAATCAAAAGTCTTGGGTGCAGAGACCCTGTGTCTGATGGGGTGTAAACTGTGTACAATGGGGTACAGGCAGGACTGTAGTTCTTGGTCAGGACTGCCCTGGGTGGTTGGGAAGCTCATTCCTGAACTCTCTGGGCTCCAGGGTTCCCCCACTTTCTGTGGGTGGGCAGACGCCCCTGAGACCTGCCAACTGGCACCAGGAAGCCCTGCCAGCCTCATGGGGTTTGTGGGACTTACCCAGGTGTAGGCGCCTCCCCGCCCAGCTGGTTTGGCTTCTGGGATTTCCACGGGGGTCCCCAGGGGTGACTTCTGCCACCCAAACACTCAACTGAACATTTCTGGAGGGAGGTTTAGGGGTGAGGGCCCCCGGTGTGGTGAGAGGGAACGGAGTCAGGGCTACAGGAGGTTTAGGATCAGTATAGGGCCCTCACCAACCACTCCCAGGTGACGGGACCTCAGTTTCCCCCTCAGGAAATAGGGAGAGATACGCCCCACCTACTCCCAGAGAGGTCCTTTGGAAGGTGCACTGGGCCTTGTTGCTGAGGGCCAGCGAACAGGGTGAGCAGGCGCAGCGGCCCCTGGAGACCCTGCCTCTAACACAGCCTGTCCCGTCTGCAGGCACTGAGTTCGAGTACACTGACTCAGAGAGCGAAGTCAAGGTGCCGAAGTGCTCGCCCGCGGGCCTGCTGCGGCCCAAGAAGGGGCTCGGGGATCCAGGAGGGGGCCTGGCCGGGCCTGCGCCCGGCGCCCGCGGCCCAACCAGCCCCGACAAGGCCAAGCTGGCAGCAGAGAAGGGGCGCAAGGCGCGCAAACTGCGGGGCCCTAAGGAGGCTGGCTTCGAGGCAGGGCCCGAGGCCAGTGACGACGACCTGTGGACGCGACGGCGCAGCGAGCGCATCTTCCTGCACGACTCGGCCCCCGCGCCCCCCGCGCCCACCACCGCCCCGGCGCCTAAGGCCACACGCTGCACCAAGGGTGGTGCGCTTAGCCCGCGCAAGGACAGCGGCCGCGCCAGGGACAGGAAGGACCCCCGCAAGGTAAGTGGTGCCAGGGACAGGAAGGACTCCCGCAGGGTAAGGGGGTGGGGTGGGCACCCGGGGAGCTCCTGTGCCTGGGTGCTGTGGTCGCTCAGGGACCAGCCCTGCAAGCGACCCGCCACTTCCCAGGGCCAGCTCTCCCAGTGATGCCAACCCTCCTGGGCCAGCCCTCCCAGTGACCCACCACTTCCCCAGGACCTGCCTTCCCAGCTACCTGCCAACTCCCCAGGCCAGCCCTCCCAGTGACCCAGCATCTCCCCAGGGCTAGCCCTCTCAGCAACCCGCCACCTCCTGGGGTCAGCTTTCCCATTGCCCCCCCCCTCACCTTCCTGGGGCAGCCCTCCCAGTGACCTCCTGGGGTCAGCCCTCCCAGAGACCCACCACCTTCCTGGGCCAGCCCTCCCAGTGACCTCCTGGGGTCAGCTCTCCCAGTGACCCCCACCTTCCTGGGGCAGCCCTTTCAGTGACCTCCCCAGGCCAGCCCTCCCAGCAACCTGCCACCTCCTGCTATCCTTTTTCCCACCCCACAGGCCCTTTTTGCATTTGATCTCAGATTAATATTTCAAAGATAGTTTTTATTGCAATTAATGATATAAGTTTGCCATCGTAACAGTTGTTAACTTTACAGTGCAGACGTTAATTGTGGTTCTTTGGATAAGTGCTGGGGTGATACCAGGCTTGGTGTTTAAAATGTACCCGGTGGTTCTGTGCAGAAGGGTTAGGGGAGCCTGTAGGATTGATCTGTCTCTGGGGCATGGGGCCCCTGGACACCACCTGGAGACTCTGTGCACCACATTGCATGACCATCAACACTGCTTTAAGAATGTTCTCAGAGGAGCTCTGGTGGCCTAGTGGCAAAGAACTGCAACTACAATCCCAGAGGCACACGGTTCAAATCCACCAGATTCTCTGCGGGGGAAGGAAGGACAATCTCCTCCTGTACCAGTCAGATCTGATTTGACGGTACACTCACACAAAAATAATAAAATAAAAAAAGAATGTTCTCCTCCTCCTGAACAGAAACCATGGCTCTTACACAGTGACTCACACTTGTCACCTCCCCAGTCCCTGTAGCCACCACCGAACTAGTCTGTGCTGTGCCCCGTCTAGAAATTTCACGGGAGCAGAATCCTACAGCGTGTGCCCTGTGTCTGGCTTGTTTAGAAGATCCGCACGACACTTTACGAGTTCGTTCATCCCCACTGCCTGGGGGTTGTTCCAGCTCGCTGCCACGTGCGGTCTGGTTTCCGAGGCTGTAAATCCAAACAGAAAGAGGCCGTCATCTTTCTCCCGCAGAGCGGCTGGTAGATGCGACTTCTCTGCTCATAGGTGAACGTGAAATGCTCTGTGCCACCAAGGACCCATGTCACAGCATGTGTTAAAATGTACACAAACAAAGGGATTGTGGAATTACGGTCCATTCACACAATGGAATACTATGCAGCACACAGGAGCAATAACTTTGTAAATTATTACCTAACTTGGGAGGGACTGGAGAGCATTATGCTGAGTGAACTAACTCAGCCCCACAAGGGCAAATATTGAATAAAACAGTGATTGTAGAATGAGTATAAGGATCCAGGAGGGGTGGGAGAGGCTGGAAGCAGAGGGATGTGGATGTGCAGGGGGAAGAGAGGATTAATCATTGGGTTGTACAATTTTTAAAAAAAATTTATTTTTTTAATTTTTGTGTGTGTGTGTACCGTCAAATCAGATCTGACTGATTCCGGAGGAGGTTGCATCTCCTTCTCCAGCAGAGCATCTGGTGGATTCGAACCACGCACCTCTGGGATTGCAGTGCAGCTTCTTGCCATGGGTTGTACAATTTGATGGGTGGGAAGGTGAGGGAAATTGAAAGAGTTTGTTCGAATTTGTATTTGAATTTTGTAAATTAACTAGTGAAAAAAAAATAGAAGTAAAAATAAGCAATTTGTGGTTCAAATCCACCAGATGCTCTGCTGGAGAAGGAGAGACAGTCTCCTCCAGTACCAGTCAGATCTGGTTTGATGGTACACATAAAGAAAATAATAAAATAAAATTGAAAAAATTTTTTAAAAAGAAACAAGCAAATTAAAAAAAAAAGTAAAATAAAACTGTTGTTGTTGTTACAACAACAGTTTTATTTAACTTTTTTTTTTTAAATAAAACTACAACATAAAAAAATAAAGTTTACTGTATTGTACTAATCACAATGAAAAATACCTGGGAAAAAAAAAAAAGTAACTCCTTATTGTGGCCAGTTGGTGGGCCACGTCCCGTTGAGCCGTTCGTCTGCTGGTAGACCGGACCGTTTCTAGCTTTGGACTGGTGTGAATAACCCCGCTGTGAACATGGACGTGCAGGTGCATCTGAGCCTCTGCTTTCAGGCCTTTGGAGAATTGCTGAGTCGTATGCTGACTCCTTGTATATACCGTGCGTGTGCCGTTGGGCGGGGCCAGTCCCTGAGGGACACCGTGCTTGGTAGATGGTCAGTGGGATGAGGATACCCCTCAGGGTGGTGGACTGACGCGGTGGCTGTACACCAGGTCGGGCAGCAGAGAGCGAGGACGGCGCCGACCCGGCGGGTCACCGCTGCTGTCACGTGGGGACCAAATACCATGACTGTCTGACATAGTGACATTTTCTTCTTTCTGTAATATTTTTATTATTTTTTTTTAATTTTGAACAGCTTTATTGATAGAAACCTGTCATACAATGAAGTACACGTATTTAAAATGTGTTAAGAGTGTGTCACAATATGTTGTTGTTGTTATGTGCCGTCAAGTCGTTTCCGACTCATAGCGACCCTATGCACAACAGCCCTAAACCCTGCTCTATCCTGCGCCAACCGCACCGCCTCTGACACACCCATCCCGATTACCCCAGTCACCGAATCAATCCATCTCATAGAGGGTCTTCCCCTCCTGCGCCGTCCCTCCACCCTCCCAAGCATGATGTCCCTCTCCAAGGACCCGTCCCTCCTGGCAACATGTCCAAAGTATGTCAGACGAAGCCCCAGAATCCTTGCCTCCAATGAGTAGCTTGGTTTAATCCTCTCCAAGATGAATCTGTTTGTTTTCCTGGCAGTCCATGGTACATTCAGTACCCTTCTCCAGCACCACAGCTCAAAAGCATCCACTCTCCTTCTGTCCTCCCTAGTCATTGTCCAACTCTCTGATGCATAACAAGCGATTGCAAAGACCATGGCCTGTATCAGGCGCACCTTAGTCTCCAGAGAGACACTGTTGTTCCTGAGTACCTTTGAGAGGTCCCTAACAGCAGACTTTCCCATCGTGATACACTTTTTGATTTCCTGACTGCTGGTGCCAAGAGTGTTAACTGTGGAGCCGAGCAAACTGAAGCTGTGAACAATCTCAATCTCTTCGTCATCCATCCTGACGCTGCTAATTGGTCCAGTGGCGAGAATCTTTGTCTTCTTGACATTGAGCCTTAGTCCATACTGAAGGCTGCAGTCCTTGACCCTTCGCAGCAAGTGCATGAGGTCCTCCTCAGTTTCAGCAAGCAGGGTTGTGTCATCTGCATAACGCAGATTGTTAATAGATCTTCCACCAATCCTGATGCCACAATTCTCCTCATAGAGCCCAGCCTCTCGGATAATCTGCTCTGCATACATGTTGAAAAGGTATGGAGACAGGATGCATCCCTGGTGGACACCCTTCCCAATTCTGAACCATGCAGTGTTACCTTGCTCTGTTCTGACTACTGCCTCTTGGTCCAAGTATAGGTTTCGTATTAGCACAATTAAATGTTCTGGGATTCCCATTATATACACTTTTAAAAAATTTATACTGATTTATTTACAATGTTTGAATACATTGTTTTTCACAAAAGATTCTTCACGTTTCTTTTTTTTTTTATTTCCATTCATGCATTGTTCTGTAATATTTTTATTATTATTCAAGTTTAAGTTACAGAGCAATTAATTATAATGGTCTGGAGCTCTGGTAGCCTAGTGATAAGAAGTGATCCTGCAGTCCCGAAGGCACATGGTTCAAATCTGCCAGCTGCATGGGGAGAAGCGCAGGCAGTCTCCGCCGGTGTGATTTACAGCCTCTGAAAACCCGCTCGATGGTCAGCTGTGAGTTGGTTCTGACTCGCGCTCACACGACAGCAAGCAGGGCTGTGATGACCACTGCTGACCGCTTCCACACTTCGTCTCTGTCAGCCTGATTTCCGTTGTTCTGTCTGTACCTCCCTGTGGACCTATCCTGTGGACCGTCCCCCACTGGGCAAGGCCTTTCCCTTCACCCACCTCTAACATGTCCATTAGCTATTGACCAGGTTTACCCCCTCTTCGCTCTCATCCCTGGTAGCCATCATTTTGTTTCTACACCTTTCTGTAGCATTTTAGAATAGCAGTCTGGTGCAGTGTTTATCTTTAGGGACAGACGTCTTTCACTCACAGGATGTCCTGTAGGTCTAGCTGCGTTATGCAGCGTTTCTCAGATTCCCCGTCATTCCTTAGAGCTGCATCCCCTCCCTTGGTGAATGTCCTGTAACTTCTCTGTCCATTTGCCCATTCATGGACACTTGGGTAGTTTCCGTTCTTTTGTTACAGAATCCTATTTTCACATGTACATAAAATATATTGGATCACAAAGGAAAATTGGTATTGAAGTGCAGCTGTCAGAATTTTCCTTTTTTAAGGTAAAAGAATAAAGAGTTTCATTAGAAAGTTACATCCTAAAGAGATGGAGCTGCCTCCTTGAAAGGAGATACGGAGGAGAGGCGAGAAGATGTTTAAAAATCAGTTTGTGATCTCATCTCTACGTGTTTCCGAGTGGCGTTAGTAAGAGTATCTGCTCCAACTCTGCTGGAGTTTTGAAGCGGTCCTGATGCTGACTCCAGGTGTCTGTTGTCACTGTCACGTGATAGGAGCTGTTGGGAGTTATGAAGCGGTCCTGATGCTGACTCAGGATTTCTGTTGTCATCGTCATGATATGACGAGCTGCTGGATTTCACTAGGTGACAGAATCTCAGGTCTGACAGAGAGGTTCTCTTAGGACATGTGGTCGCCACGTGCAGCCCCCCGGGGAAAGCCTTCATCTTCAGAGCTTGGTGAAAACACACTGGCGTTTTCTTCCTTTCAGGTTTCCAGGTCTTTGGAAGCTCAATCAACACTCCAGGTTATGAACTCTTGGCATTTCAAGAACTCAATGATGATTAGGCCTGTTTCCCTTTTTGCACTGGCTGCTAGGAAGCCCATTTCCCCCCTTTTGGCTGGTTTTATTCAGACCTGACAGCTTCTGACAAAAGTCTCTGACTTGGGTCTTCCCACCCCATGTCCCAGCTGGAGTATTTTCATCTCCTGGGGCTGCGATAACGAGATACCACTAAGTGGGACGCTTTCAGCAACAGAAATGAGTGTCTCCCAGTTGAAGGATCAGCTGTGTTTCTGTCGTCTGAGAGCTCTCAGGGAGGAACGGGCCCACGTGGCTCACCTGACTTCTAGCATCACCTCCAGCAGCACGTAGCTGCCTCCTCTCTGTATGTGACCCTGTCCCCACGTCCACCTCCTCTTCGTAAGACAGCAGCCACCCAGGGTGGAATCACTGTAGTCTGGTACAGTATTCTAGTCACTGAGTCAGAACCACTCAGCAGGTTTTTGGAGGCTGTGAATTGTGGGAAGGAGTTGCCTGTCTGTCTCCCTCGGGGCCGGTGGTGGACTTGAACCACCTAAGAGGTATGGTCTCTGGGTTAGCTGCGGAACCGTGTGCGCAACGTCAGAAGAGCTGCTTACCTAGGTAAAGTGGTGCCGTGCACGTAGTTACACACTGGATTGGGGACCGAAAGGTTGGTAGTTCAGATTCGCGCAGAGGCCTCGGAGCAGAGATCTGGCAATCATCTCTGGGGCACAGTCCGTCTCGGACGTATGAGGTCAGAACGGAGCTGGTGGCAGCTCACTGCCCTATCCTGACCTCGCTAACTGGTGACGCCTTCAAAGAAAGACTCCGTGTCCAAACAAGGCCCAGTTATGCCTCCAGTACCTCAGCTTATCTTTGGGGGACATAATTCAGTTTTTTTCTTAAAAAAAATTCTTTTGTGTGTGTGTACCATCAAACCGGATCTGACTGGTACAGGAGGAGATTGCCCCTCCTTCTTCAGCAGAGCATCAGGTGGATTCGAACCGTGTACCTCTGGGATTGCAGTGACAGTTCCTTTCTTACTGTGGAAGATGAGCCTCCAGTCGGCAGCGGCATTCTTAAGTCACAGAAAAGGCTGCGACTCGGACGTTGATCTGTGGAGAACACCTGCCGGCGAGGCAGCTGCATTTGCACACCCCCTGCAGACACCCATCGTTGGCTCAGTAAAGAGGAAGCTTGATGAGAAAGGAAAGCCGTCATCGGGCCGAGGCGGGGGCTGCAGGCGTGAGCTCAGGCGGGGATGGTGAGGAGAGCACAGGCCCCGCAGCATTGCCGTCGACGCCGCACTGAGCTGCTGTGAGTCCGGAGCCAATTCAGTGTCTCCACACACATCCGGTCTCCTTTGTCCCTCAGGAGCTGAAAGCGGGGACTCGGATTCATGTGCCCTCACATTCACGTCCGCTCACAGGTGCTAAACTGTGCAGACCGGCCAGGTGTCCACCACCAGTGAGTGACCAGCACGACGTGGTCCACAGATGCGTATCGAGCGTCTCAGTGCCGTGGGCGTGTGGTCAGGAGGGCCAGTCCCCGGAGAAGGACATCATGCTTGGGGAATAGAAGGCCAGCAAGAGGAGGAAGGCCCTCAGGAGGTGGACTGACCCCCTCATACACAGCGGGGAGTGACCATGGCTCAGCACCGGGCCAGGCCCCACCGGATCGGGCCTGGGGTCTCTGTGAGGGCGAATGGACTGGTGGCAAGTGTCGTGGATGCACCTTGTCAACCTGATGCTCAACCAGAGAGACTGAACACGGTTATGAATTCCCCTGACATGAAATCTCCGGAACAGACAAATACAGGAGACGGAAAATGAGTCAGGAGCGGCCAGGGGCTGGGCGAGCTGAGTGGGGCGTTACTGTTTAACGGATAGGGTTCCTGTGGGGGGCTGGGGAAAGTTCTAGAAACGATGGTGGTGGATGTGCACTGGCGAGACTTCTGTGTTGTTATTAGCTCTTTTTAGCTGGCTCTGGCTGTGGTGACCTGCCTGGTCCTGTCCTCCTCACGGGCTGTGCTGTACGGGAGCCCACTCTTGGTCTTTGCCAGGCCATCTCGTTGAGGGGCTTTGTTTTTTTGGGCCAGTTGTCTGCTTTCTGTGGTGGTGGTGTGGGTTTTGTGTTAGACTAGGTGTTCGAATGTACCAGCCGCTTCCTGGGAGAAAGAGGAGATCCGCTCCTGTAAAGATTTTCCATCTCGGGGGGCGGGAGGGGAGCGGGGTGCTGTGGGTTGGAGTCCCTCAGCAGTCCTCGGCTTGTGCTTCCCAGTCCCATGTCCTCCAGGGCCTGGTCCCCTTGACAGCGTGTCCCAAGTACCTGAGACGCGATCTCCGCATCCACACCCGCCTGCACCTTTTCCAGGACAGATGTATTTCTTCCGCTGCTGCTGCTGCCTGCTCCCTGCAGAATTCTTCTCCGACATTGTCAGTGCCACTAAAACTTCTAAGATGATACGTTCTATGTCGTGTGTACTTTACTGTAATGACTTCTTTTTAAAAAAAAACAGGAAAAGGTAGTTGATTCATTTTACAGGTGACAGGTGAAAGGTCAAGTGACCACAGCAGCGAAAACCGAGCCGAGCTTTGAACTCGGGGAGGAGCTGATGTCCTGCTCCTTATTCTCTGGTGCTGTTGGAGGAGAGAAATGCGGTGGATGGATTTCATGAACAAATATATTCTCTTTAGAGAATTAAGAAAAAAGACATTTGCTTGTTTTTAGGAGACCGGAAGTCCCAATTGAGGGTGCAGATTTTCGGAAAGGGTCCCTTCTGTCCGTTCCAGAGGTCAGTCTGCATTTGTCATGTGTGGACCAGGGGCTTCCTGGAGGCCTGTGTGTCCTGACCTCCGCCGGTGCCCGGAGCTGCCCGGAGCAGGGGCCTGGGTCGGGGGACACGCTGCGCTCGTGGTGAGGGTTCCCGGGGGTCCCGGTGTCCCTCCTGCCTCAGCTCATTCGCCTCCTCTTTGCTGACCGGTCTTGACTGTGATGAAGGCTCGATCCTCCTGCGTACTTGGTCTGTCAGATCGGGGGGACCCTGCTGTAGCTGCCACATGTGCCCTCACGTGCACGTGTCTTCAGAGACCCACCGCAGCGCCGTGGGGTCAGTTCTGACTCCCAGTGACCTTCCGCTGGGTTTCGGAGGTGTTGGACGGTAACACGAGGCCACTGCTGGTGGATTTGAACCGTTGGACACCCAGCCTTCGGGTCAGCAGACAGCAATCACCTACAGACTGAGCTCCAGAACTTTCCGCGTCTGTTCCCTCTCGTTACACATTGTCATCGAGTCTGAACTGACCTTCTACCAACTCATGAGAGGAAACTGTCCCTCTCTCTTTGGAGCCACTGGTGGACTCAGACCACTGCCGAGTTCGGCCTTTGGCTTGACAGTGCAGACCCCCATGGCCTGTTTCAGGGGGTGCAGCTCACGCTTGACCACGCAGTGCTGGTCCTGTCATCACTAGGCCTCACAGCTTTTCTGGGTCTTGTTGAAGATGTTGTTGCCTTCCTTTTGACATCTCTCCTGTCACCCCAACTCACCCGCGTGCCCCCTTAGCTCCCCCTGTGGGGTCCCCAACTTTCCTTTTCCTGGCGTTTGATGAGCTAGAGCTGTTGACAGGGTGGGGCTCGGTCACTGTTACAGAACAGAAAGTGTGTGAATGGTTGAGAGGAATCCACTTTGCTCTGTCGACGTTCCCCCAAATGACGATAAAAAGTTCAAGTGTCTGATCTTTTTAGGTAAGAGGACCAGACAAGGTAAAATGACACAATTGAAAAAGCCACATCCCGGGGGCCCCATCATCCTCTTTGTCGCTGAGCTGTGGGTGGAGGTGGAGGTCTGCTCAGACCCTCGTGCCCAGGCTAGGCCCAAAGCGCAGCCAGCAGCCATGCAGGCCGCAGGTGGAGACCCCGGGGGCGCAGGTGCAGAGGACCCCGCCGGCCTGGAGCCCCAGGGCAGCCCCGAGGAGCAGGGTGGGCACACCACGTCCGGTGGCGGCAGCGGTGGTGACGGCGCCCAGGGAGCCGGGAGCGACCCAGGGGCCCCGCTCCTCAGGGCCAGCTGATCCCCAGGCCTGCAGGGGCAGTGAGACCACTGTTCAAGTTCTCCCTGACCGTGCCTTTCCACTCGCCCCTGGAGGTGGAGATGGCCTGCAGGGCCCTGACCCCCATCGTGCAGAACCACCGGGGAGTCATCAAGAGCTCGTACTCTCTGAAGGGCAGCACCCTGGCTCTTAGGTGGACTGCTGAAAACCCAGTGCTCTTGCAGGCTTCCATCAACCACCTCTTCCGCTACCTTTACGTGGTGATTCGGAACATCGTGACCATGAGGCCCCACTTCCCACAGAACCGCCATAGGCCTGAGGCCTAAGCTTGGGGCCCAGCCCAACAGTGGCCCTTGCCTGGCCCCTGATGCCTGCTGCCGCAGTGGCCACATCACGATGAAGCCCGTTGGCTGCATGGGCCCTTCGTGCTCGGGGCCCACTTGTTTTTTTTCCCTGTAAATGGAGGCGGGGGCTGCTTAACTCTTTGTCACTGCTCAAAATAAAAGCTATTGCTTCTAAAAAAAAAAGGCAACATCCCCCAAACCTGTTGTGGTCAAGTCTATTCTGATTTGTGGAGACCCTGGGCTCGAGGGTGGAGCTTCTAGCGTTTTCTTGTCTGTGATCTACGAAGCTGATTTCCTGCAGGGTCTTCTGAACCCTGTCGCTGGGTGGGTTTGATCCGCCAACCTTTAGGTTAGTGAGAAACCAAACTTCACCATGGATTCTGTCTCGTGGCAAACCTCCCTTGGGTTTGAGAAATTTACATCTCAGTGAGAGCAGACAGCGTCATCTGTCTCGCACCAAACAGCTGGTGGATTTGAACTGACGACCTCTAGGTTAGTAGGCAAATTAGTACCTTTTATGCCTCCCAGGAAGAAGACCTGAGGTCCACACAGTCCCCCCAGCTTCTTGATGATTCACCAAGAAACTAGGAGCAAACTGATTAACATCCAAAAATTCATACAAAACAGACCCCAGGAATCCACCACCACCCAGTACTCCCAGGGGTTGGTGGCCTCGTGGAAGGAGTCGCTCTGCCAACATAAAGGCACACGGTTCTAAACCACCAGCTGCGTCTCGGGAGAAAGATGAGAATCCACCTCCTGTATGATTTACTGCCTCTGAAAACCCACTGAGGGTCAGCTGTGAGTCGGTTCTGACTCAGCTGTCCTTAACAACAGTTAATCCAAAGCAAAACTGCTGTTAAACATATTTTTTTAAGATTTTCCTCTCTTGCCTTTTAAACTTGGTGTTATATCACGGGTAGGTTCCGATCTCAGGAGCTCTTGATGAGTACTTGGTTTATTTGGAGAGAATGCTGCTGTGTCTGGGTCAGCCAGCAGGCCTGTGGGAGGGAGGGCTGACACGTCACCCTGCACTGATGAGCGTTTTGCTTCTGTGTGCAGAACTTGAATCACATTGGTCTTCTTTCCTTTTTTATAACATTTTAAAGTGCTTTAGGTGAAGGTTGACCCGGCAGGTTAGTTTTCCGTTCAGTGACTTGTACCCACGTTGCCCCGTGACGTGACGTAGGATCCAGGCCTGCAGGCTGTCAGCACTCGCCCCCTTTCCTCCCTGTGGTTCTCCTTTCCACGTGTCCACTTTCCTGCCCCTTTTTATCTTCTCATTCTGGCCTTTGGGCACACGGTGCCTTTTTGACCGTGTGCAGTTGTTTGTTCTAAGGGACACATTCCTTGCTGATAGGACTGTTTACTTTATAGGTAGCTGATGGGTGGACTTGGCAAGTAATTCGGGTTCCTGTGAAAAGGGCATCAGGCTAAGAGTTGTCTGTTCTCTGTCAGACCAGGAAGTCTGGGTTTCGTTGTTCTGTCTTTTATGAACTTGATTTTTGTTCTGAATACTCCTCCCATCTTAATTGGGATTTCTGTGGTGTCCTCTGGCTTTCTTCCCTTATTTAAATGTAGAAAAAGCACCTGAAAAACGGGTTTCCTGACCAGCGAAGACTGCTAGCAGTTATGTGTGATTATGACAGCAGTTTGGAAAAGGAAGATAGTAAAAATTCATTCAGAGACAACTTGTTAAAAAAAATCTTATACTGTGATTTGAGTGAAAGTTTCCAGAGCACAGAGGTTTTTCATTTAGTCACACACCTTCTGGTTTGTTAGCATTAATTACGGTACGCACAGTGTAATCTCATTTTTCCCATTTCTTCCCTGTGGTTCTGATTTCCATTAATCCTTCTCTTACCTCTTTGAAGGATACCTTCAGAGTTTAGGAATACAGATGCTTAAAATGCACATCGGAAACAAGAAGACTCTGTGTGTGTGTGTGTGTGTGTGTGTGTGTGTGTGTGTGAAAACGTATGTATTTTTTCCTAAATAGAAATGGTTGTTGTTAGGGGAGCTCTGGTGGCCTAGTGGCAAGGAGCTGCAACTACAATCCCAGAGGCTAACGGTTCGAATCCACCAGATGCTCTTCCGGGGAAGGAGGGACAATCTCCTCCTGTACCAGTCAGATCTGATTTGACGGTACACTCACACAAAAATAATAAAAATTTAAAAAAAAAGAAAAAGAAATGGTTGTTGTTGTGTACCGTAGAGTTAGAACCAGCCCATAGCTGAACCCCTGGAGGGTGTTCATAGACAAGGGAGGAGATGGCTTCTTTTCTGCAGAGCAGCTGGCGGATTTGAACCGCATCCCTTGGTGTAGGCAGCGCAGTTCCTTGCCATGAGGCGACCAGAGCTCACCTACAGACTAGATCTTAGTACAGGTTTTTCAGCGTGGAGATGCTCCTTGACCCTGCTTTTCCCCCTTGTGCGGTGTTCTTGGCCTTGGGCAGGTTTTGACTTGTCTCATATGAGCGTGGTGACTGCTGTGTTCTTGGCGCTCCTTGTCCAGAGTCATATTTTCTGTTTACTGCTTTGTACATAAATTACACGCAGTCTCACGAACAGCACAGTTTCCTGGCACACCGGTGTCATGTATGTCCTGTGTGTGGAAGTGGCATTTTCAACCGCCCTGGCCCAACTCCTTGGCTGTTTTGTTTAACATAAGCCTCTTTATTTTTTTAACCTTTTGTTGTTAAAGTGACTGAAGACTTCTAGAGCAGATCAATTTCCTGTTCAACAATTCATACACCTTTAGGGCAAAAGTATACAGATTTTGCAACTGTCCTCTCTGGAGTTTGTGCTCCATTGTCCTGCAGTCCTGGTACGGTAACAGACCCCCCTGTTCCCTCCCTGCATTGCCTGAGATGGGCTTCTTTTTAAAGCCTAAAGAACTTACATTCCTACTGGGCCTGACTCTATTCATGTGACTGTATTTTTGATGCCTGCTTTTTTGCAGAGTCTGATCATTCCTTGCGGTTGGAGGCCACCATAAACACACTTAGCTGTGTCTGTGGGCACCCCCGGAGGCAGATTGCTGGACGTTTTGGTGGTTTTCCAGTTTGGGGGCTCTGATAAAAAGCTCAGCCCACTTCCTGGGCAAGCATCTCACACTGGGCTCTGATTACGCCTCTCTAAACGAGACCCGATGGCCGCTGAGCTCGTTTTGGCTCATGGCGACCCTCCGTCAGGTTTCTGGGGTGACAGATCTTTATGGGAGCAGACTGCTCCAGCTTCCTCTCAAGCAGCAGCTGGTGGGTTTGAACTACCGACGTTTGGTTAACAGCCCAACACTTAACCCATTGCACCTGTGGGTCTCTTCTTTAGATAACTAGTTTAGGCACATTGTTTTGATTTCATTGTTGTTGTTAGGTACCATCGATTCGAGTATGACTCATAGTGACCCTGTGAACAAAAGGTCTGAGCCCTGTTCTATCCTGTGCCATCCTCACACTTCCTGACACACAAGAGTCCCTTGCAGCAGTCACCGTGTCAGTCCACCTCGTTGGGGGTCTTCCTCTCCTTGGCCAACCCTCTACCCTTCCCAGCAAGGAATAGCTTCTCCTGACAACATGCCCAAAGTATGAGAGGCAAAGCCTCATCATTCTTGCCTCCAAAGAGCACTCCGGCTGCACTCTCTCCACGACGTATCATTCTCTTTTCCGTCCACACGATGTTCAGTGTCTTCTCCAACACCATGGCTCAGAGACGTCAGTTCTTTTTCTGTCATCCTTATTCATTGTCCAGCTTTCAGATGCACAGCAAGTCATCAGAAAGACTATGACTTGAATCAGACCCACCTTAGTCTTCACACTGATGTCATTATTCCACAATAATTTTTGGGTTTATTATGGCAAAATAGAGGGGGGAAAGCCACAGAAAATGTGCCGTCTTAACTGTAAGTGTACATTTCAACGATGTGAATTGTATCCACGGTGTTGGGTAATATTCCCCATCATTTGCTTCCAGAACTGTTTGTCCCCTAAACAGAAGTCCCATGCCTCCTAAACAGTGGGTCCCCCGCACACCTCCAGCCCCCCATAACCTCTTCCCTGTCCATCTGGGGTGCCTTCCTATTGTTTTCTAACAGCCTTACGTACTGATTTGTGCGTGGTAACAGTGTACGCAGCGAAACAGTGGTCCTTGGAACAGTCTTCGTCCGTGTAGTTCCCACGCCGCTGCCATCCTGTTCCTGCCGATTCCTGGCGACCGTGGGGGACAGTGGGGCTGCCCCCGCGGGCTTCAGAGCCTGTGAATTTTGGGAAGTTGCCTGGTGCTTCTTTCTCCCAGGGAGCAGCTCGTGGGTTTCCGCGTCCAGCTTGCTGGTCAGCAGCTGAGTGCTCGACCACTTTGTGTGGTCAGGATGTTCATATTTATGTCATTGTTTGTGCCGTGGAAACTTCCAGAAAGGCACACCAGGCCCTTCTCTGTGTGGTTGGTCAGATGGTTGGAGCGAAACGTCTGCACAAAGTCAGGTGTAGTGAGCAGGCCAGGTTGAGCAGTCCACTGCCAAGTTCAAGGTCTGTGGTTCTGAATGTGCTGTGAAGGCAAGGCCTGGCTGTCTGCTCCAGGGAAGGTCACTGCCTGGGACGTCCAGTGGGGCAGGGCCTCCCATCACACCTGCTCCTCGGCCCCCAGTGACGGTGGAACGTGGAAACACGACAGTCCAGGTTGACAGCAGAGGAGGAGGAGGGGTCCGGTACGCTCAGACGCAGTCCCGAGGGGACCAGGGTGGGGGCCCCTGCATGCGTCCGGGCCTCAGGCTGACACCTGACCCTCTGCTCTGTTCTTGCAGAAGAAGAAGGGGAAGGAGTCGGGGTCGGCGCTGCCACCGCCCCGCACGCCAGCCCTGCCCGCCGACGCCCGGGCCCCTCACAGCTCTCTGGCCACCACCAAGCGGAGCAAGGCCAAGGGCAAAGGCAAGGAGGTGAAGAAGGAGGTGAGACTGTCCCTCCCCGCGTCAGGGGCGGGGCACCGCGCCACGCAGGCCTGCAGAGTTCCCGGGACCCCTCTGTGCTGTGTGAGGACCCTCACTGTAGTGTCAGGCCCAGGGCACATGCATGTGGCTCTCTGAACATCCGAAGGATTCCGCTCCATCTCCAGATGAGAGATGTCAGAGACCCCGCACGATGTGTGGGTGAGGGTGCGGGGGCCGCAGCATTCCCCAGATGACAGATAGTACCCGCCCCTCGCACCAGCCAGCCCCCCAGAGCCTGCAGTGCCCTTTACTGTCTCTAGAGGGTGCTGTGCTGCTCCATGTGCTTTCCTTCAGCTCAGCATTGGGCCCTGGCCAGGGGTCACGACTCAGCCCTGTGCGGTCACGTCCCCTCAGGCAGGTGGTCAGCATAGTCCACAGAGTGCCTGCTGGCTGCCTCTACAATCTGGCAGGATCCAGGTGTCAGGGTCCCTAGGCTGGCAGAGTCCTGGTGTCAGGGGCCTCGCCTGGTGGGATTCAGGTGTCAGGTGGGATCCAGGTGTCAGGGGCCCCCGCCAGGTGGGATCCAGGTGTCAGGTGGGATTCCGGTGTCAGGGCCCCCAAACTGGTGGGATCCAGGTGTCAGGGGTCCCTGCCTGGTGGGATCTAGGTGTCAGGTGGGATTCAGGTGTCAGGTGGGATCCAGGTGTCAGGTGGGATCCAGGTGTCAGGGGCCCCAGACTGGTGGGATCCAGGTGTCAGGTGGGATCCAGGTGTCAGGGG